ATTTGTTTTCAATTTTTGCATCTTATTTTTTTTTAAACACCCAATTTTCCGACACAAACCCGAAAAACATTTCTAAAAAATACAGGACAACTCAGCGACCATGTTCCTCATGATAAAAAATGACAACACGAAATTGCTGTTTTTTTTTTTCTAATTTATTTAAATCGAATTTCGTTTTTCGTTTTTTTTTTAAATCTTAAACGAAGTCGAACTCCAAAATAAAAAATATAGGATTGTAGGGTTTTCCAAGCCCTAAAACCCTATATATATATATATATTTTTTTTTTACGTACTTTTTGGGTTATAAAAAATATTAAAAAACCGGGCTGCGGACCAGGACTTATTGGCCGCGGCCGCGGTCGACTTTTTCGGTTGCGGCGGCCGAATTGCCCGCGGCCTAGCACTTCTGATCTACGCTCACTACGAACGACAAAGATTACCTAAGGAAGGTTCACGACCTGCCCGCCCCACCCGGACTTTGGTCCCTCCCTCCGACAGGCAGCTTCGCCCTCGGAGGTAAGCTCGGTCTTTCAAGGAGGGGGGCGTGTGGCATACTGCGCTGTCGGTGCGAATACCCTTACAAGGGTATCCGCCCTGGTTTTTGCAAGTGACAGAAAATAGGTTTGGATTAAAGTTTAAATGTTCCACGCGAGGTACGACTGCGTCTGTGGTTTACGTTGGTTGGATGGTTGACTAGAATAGAGAGTGTGTGGGCGCGCGGATTTGAGGCGCGCGTGATCTTTTTAATTGTTGTTGATTGAAGAGTCAGTGTGACTGCCGGCCATTTTTTTTTATTTTTTTTTTTGATTAAGTTAGGATTAAAAAGATTACGTTTCGTTGATTGATGTGCCTGTCTGTGACCTATGCGTACGTGCGGAGGGCGGCACCGACAACGGGGAGGTCTTGAAGTGTTTTCAGTAGTCTCGCGCGTTGCGCATTGTCCATTTATTTAGGTGTCCGTCGAAGCCAAACCCAAACTGTGGCTTAGCATTAGCAGTTACGGCGTCCGATTTTCGTCGAAGGGGTTTAAGGATGGAGACCGAGCGGCGACGACGCAAGAATATCAGAGTAGCGCGAAGGGGACCGAGGGGTCAAGGGTCCGGCGGGGCTATCCCCCCTGTTGTTGCTGTCCGCGATGTCCGATCGGTGGTGACATTTTCTAGATAATTCTTTTTAGTGCCGTATTTCTGTTTATGGCAAAAGATCGCGGCGATGCCGGACCTCGAACTGCCATTTTCGCATCTGCGTCGGGAGTTCTACAACCGGTCATGTGCCACCTTGAGCCTTGCACTTGATGATCGCGAGCAATACGCGACCTTCGCCGAAATCATCGACAAGGCAAGGGAGATCATCAGGACCAATAAGGCGGTTGCACACGAGAAGTCGGCATGGTAGGCAACCTATGTGGAGAAAGGGAAATTTGGTCCGCGTCCGTAGCATGTCGCTGCAGTCCATTCGGATAACATTGTGGAAGACCCAGCAGCCACCCAAGCATCACGTGAGGGAGATCAGGTGGCTGTTGTCCAGCCGCGAAGCAACAACAACTCCCGAGGAAAAGGGAAGGCAAAAACCGCATCGCCGGCCGGAAACGGATAGCCAGCACCTTGGGTTAAGTTTCATTTGACCGAGGCCGAATACAAGTGGCGAGGCCGATATGGCTGCTGCTATTGGTGCAACAACACCAAGCACAAGACCTCCCAATGCCTGGATCAAGGGCAGGAGGATGTTCGGCCTCGCATCAACTCGGGAAACTGAGTTGCGCGGGAGGTGAGGTGACTCCACCTCTCACTCCGTCAGATTCGGCCGCCTTGCTAGCGGCCTCCTTGCTAGCGGCCTCCTACACATATGGGGAGGATGCGAATGTCGCAAGTCCTCGGTTCACTTACGAGGATTATGCTGTCCACTTGGTCCCACCGTTGGACCAACCACTCCACGTGCAACAATCCACCACATGCACGGTTTCACTACCATCGGCAACTGATTCGGCAGCTTCGCCGCCATCTATCGTCGGGGATTCGACGACATGATCAAGACTTGAAGAGCTCGACCCGTTCACGTTTGTGGACTTCCAATGGATGCCCCTTCCCCCGTCCGGTTGATTGTCGAAACCGCATTGCAACGTGCTCATGGCACAATTGCGGGATTACTTGCACACTGCAGTACCAACTCTGTTGACGGATGCTGGAGTAGAGGTTGTCGACCTTCACGCCTACATTGCGAAGATCGACCGCGACTTCAAGATACAACGGTACGACGACATCGACTCTCCATTGTTGTACATACACATTCAGATCGGAGAGGCGACTTGCAACGCTTTGATCGATTGCGGAGCTACTCGCAACTACACGAGCCAAGACTTTATGGTACGCGTTGGCCTTGGGCCACACGTTCGGAGGAAGTCGCAACCCACACAAGTCACGTTGGCCGACGGTCACACGCACAAGTCAATCGACCGGTGCATTGATGTCGTCCATGTGTACTTTGCCCCGCATGCAAGCGAGGGTATGTCCTTCGATATTTTGGACACCAAGTTCAACATGATCTTGGGCATGTCATGGCTGCGAGGCGAGGATCACCCGGTGAACTTCTACCGCCTCATTGTTCACGTTCGTGATCGGAACGGAGTACTAGTCCCATGCACGGTGCCTCCTCCTCACCCTTCGATCAGGTGCCACGTGGTATCCGCCGCAAGCATTCGTGCTTCCATCATCCGGGATGACATCGAGGAGATGGGGGGGTGTTTTCTCCACGCCCTCCCGCCCCAAGACATTCCATCGATGGACTCACCATCGGACCCACGCATCACCGAGCTTCTCGATGCCTACGACGACGTGTTCGAAACACCACACGGAGTATTACCGGATCAGGCCATCCGCCACGAGACCATCCTCGAAGACGGGGCCGTACCTCCGCGTGGTTGCATCTACTGCATGAGCGAGGAAGAGTTAAGTATGCTAAGGGCACAACTCGACGATCTTCTCGAGAAAGGCTGGATTCGGCCTAGCTCTTCACCATACGGTGCTTCCGTTCTCTTCGTCCGGAAGAAGAACAAGGAGTTACGGTTGTGCATCGATTATCGCAAGCTCAACGCACAAACCGTCAAGAACGTCGGCCCTCTTCCGCGCATCGACGACCTCCTCGAACGACTGGGTGGCGCCAAGTTATTTTCCAAGCTTGACCTCAAATCGGGATATCACCAACTCGAGATCCGGCAGGAGGACCGCTACAAGACCGCGTTTAAGACTCGATATGGGCATTTCGAATCGCTGGTTATGCCTTTTGGCCTTACGAATGCCCCGACCACATTCCAAGCGGCTATGACAATGGATTTCCGACACATGCTGGATAGATTCGTACCCATGTACCTCGACGACATCTTGGTGTACAGCCGGAGTTTGGACGAGCATGTCGAGCACCTGTGCACCATTTTGGAGCGACTACGACAAGCCAAGTACAAAGCCAACTGCGACAAATGCGAATTCGCGCAGCAAGAGCTGGACATTATGTGACAGTGTGACACCGAAAGACATCCGTCCGCTTGCGGACAAGATCGAGGTCATCCGCGTATGGCCCGAGCCCACCAACACCACGAACGTCCGTTCATTCATGGGTTTGGCGGGCTACTACCAACGCTTCATCACCGGGTACTCAAGGATTGCCGCACCTATGACGATATTACAATCGCCAAAGGTGCCATTCGTATTCGATGACGACGCACGCCGGTTATTCCACGCACTCAAAAAGGTCATACTCATGGCACCCGTCCTTAGCATCTATGACCCCACCCTGCCAACGAAAGTGACAACCGACGCTTCCGGTTATCGCATTGGGGCAGTCTTGGAACAACATGACGACGATGACTGGCACCCTGTGGGTTATTTCAACCACAACGTGTCAGTCTTACAACCTCTTCGATGCTTTTAAACGTCTCTTCCCAACCAAACGTACATATACATGTTTTAGGAAGAGTCAAACAATGAAAGCATCAAAATCTCGCATAGACCTCATACTCTTATCGGAAGAACTGGAGGGTGCTCTCCAAGCAGCAGAAATCTTCCCTCGCAGTGTCTTCCCCGACCATGATCACGCAATGATTGTGGTACTTCTTTCTTTCAGAAAGAAACCTGATCAAGGTAGAGGATTCTATAAATTAAATACATCCTTTTTGAATTTAGACAGTTTCAAAACTTATCTTCACGATGTGTGGTCCTTCTGGAGAGAACATAAGGAAATGACGATATACGTTGGTTCAACAACGGCCTGATGTTCCTGGGCCGCAAGTGCAATGAATATTCACAACTGCTGGCCAAACAGCAACACATGGAAGAAATGGACATACAAAACTAACTTCAGCAACTTCAAAAATAAGAAGAAGATTCAACGACTGAGAACGACGGGACTGGAATTTCCCAAAACATAAAAGCCCTAGAGTCCAGTCTACTTAAAATTATGGAGCACCGTTGGCAAGGGATCAAAATTAGAGGAAAACTGAGAGGACAAAATACGGAAAGAGTCATGGATGCGAGGTTTTTTGCCACAACAAAAGTAAGGACTGGTCGTACCACTGTTGAGTTTTTTTTTAATCCTCAAGGAGATCAACACCCACTTGTCAAGAGTCCAGTCTACTTAAAATTATGGACCACCGTTGACAAGGGATCAGAATTAGAGGAAAACTAAGAGGACAAAATACGGAAAGAGTCATGGATGCGAGGTTTTTTGCCACAACAAAAGTAAGGACTGGTCGTACCACTATTGAGGTTTTTTTTAATCCTCAAGGAGATCAACACCCACTTGTCACTTCAACGACGGCTTGTACAAAGATAGCTAGAGATTTCTATAAGTCACTGTTCACATCCAAATGTAAACAACCGAAGGATCAAAGAGTCCAAGAAATAGATGACTTCCTTAAGCCATTAAGTAAATCCCTAACAGATCAGCAGAAACTGATGCTAGAGAATCCTCTCACGAAGGAAGAAATTTGGTCAGCCTTGATGATGATTGAAGAAGAAAAGACCCCAGGGATAGACTGTGAAACCGCACGTTCATTGAACGCGGGTTTTCCGTTCAGAAATTGAACGGAATGCACGCGCGTTCAATGAACGGGCCCGAACGCGGAGTTCAATTCCGCGCGGGAAAAAAAAAAAAAAAACACCCTTCAAAAAATTCCGAAAAAAAAATATGTTATGAAAAAAAATAAAAAAAACAACATTTGCCAGAACATGACATCGAAATTCATTACCAAATTGGAAAACAAAATAGAAAACAGAAAATAAAAAAAGTAAAAAAAGAATTGAAATTAGTGAACGAACACGATTTGACACCGCCATCTTTGGCGATTTTTCATTTTTTTTTGGCTTAGCAAAATGACTTCAAAATTGAGAGTCATGTACCTCACATCATACAGAACTCATAAAAAAAAACATCAGAAAAAAAAAATTATTTTGAGGCATTAAAAGAATTTTTGTTTTTTTTTTTTAAATAATAATAATAAGTGAACGCCGTTCAATTTTGAACGCGAACGCGCAATCCGCGTTCAAACGCACATTTGAACGCGAACGCTCGTTCACGGAGTTCAAACGGTTACACAGGGGATAGATGGACTACCAAAAGAAATTTGAGAAGTTATGTGGGACTACTTGACTCAAAATCTGATGGATTTCTACCATGAAGTATGGACCTGTGGCACAATGGGCGAAATAGTTGGTCAAGGAATTCTGACACTCTTATACAAAAAGGAAGATAAAGCCAACATCCGCAATTACAGACCAATTACCCTCCTCACAGTAGTCTACAAACTAGCTGCAAAGGCTGTCACAAACCGTATGTTGAAAGTAATCACTGACATCATCCATCTAACCCAAACTGGTTTCATTGAACGGAGAAACATTCAAGATAATATCATATTAGTGAATGAACTAGTCAAACTCTCTAGGCAATCCAAACACAACGCAGCCTTCATCTTCATCGACTTTGAAAAAACCTATGACCATGTGCAATGATTTTTCTTAGGTAAATGTCTAGAAAAGTTTAATTTTGGGCCTAACTTTCGAAGATGGATAGAGATCCTTCACTCAAATGCCACAACCAGGGTAATGATTAATGGTAATCTGGCCCCACCTTTTGAGCTGGAACGATCAGTGAGACAAGGGGACCCAATTGCCCCCTTCCTCTTCGTCATCATGATGGAGGCCCTTGCGGCAAACTTAAGATGTAACAAGGACATCAAAAGGATCCAAGTCAGTTACATACCGGAAGAAGTCATACCGATTTGCTCCCTATTCGCTGACGACCTCTCTTTGATGACAGAAGCCTCCCATGAGAACCTCAAAGCGATTAAAGAACTAATGGATAAATTTTGCGTCCTTTCAGACATAAAAATAAATTGGGGTACAAAAACGTAAGGTTAGTGGGTACATCACCAAGGTGTAAGACCCCCAGAACACCCAAACATAAATTGGTTACCACCAACAAACCTAATCAGAGTCATGGGAATCTCACTATCAGCAATGGGCAAACCGCCAGGTAACAATGAAGGGATAAGCAAGTCAGCCCTAGCCAAATTGGAACTATGGAAGGATAAACGGACGTCAATTATATCTTGGCCTCACTATGGTACAAATCAACAATATGGTCACTGGATAAATCTGCACTCAAACCGCTACTAAGACAAATCACAGCTTACCTATGGAGAGGAAACCACAATAAAAAAAATGTAATTAGTAGAGTGGCCTGGCAGGCGGTGACCCAGCCTAAAACAAGAGGAGGACTAGGAATCCTAGACCCCTCCACCTAAGCTATGACACTAGCTATTCAATGAATCAAACGGTTACTTTTCAACCCGGAGATCCCTTGGATAGCGCTAGCTAAAGAACAGATCAAGAGACTAACTCCGGAAGTACCTAGTGAGATTGACCCACTGATGTGGCTAGAAAATTGTTACTGGTCCATCCCAAGAGGAAATGGTCAACCCTCAAATCTACCTACTATATCCCATCGTCAAGCTGCAAGAATGGACATTAAAAATGACCCATTTTGGACAAATCTCCCCAGAACCTGACGAAAACTACCCCTACTGGATAAAACTTCACCAAAGAGATGGGAGAAAGTCTGCCAGCGACCCCCTTTCAATAACAGATGGATAACTGACTCACAAGGTACATGCTTTCACTGTATGAATTCCCCTTGGAAAGACTGGGTCAAGAATGGGATACTAAGGGTTGGGGACATATGGAGCTTAGAGATGAAGGATTGGCACCAGATCACAGACCTCCTGCCGAACCTACGGTATTGCAAGGGATCAACAAACGCTCTTGACACAATTACTGAAGCCATTCCGATAGAATGACTGAGAATCCTTAAAAAGGGTCCCCTACTTAGAGAGAGTGATTGGGTGAGTCTCCACGGGAATTCCCAACAAATAGGGAACGTAGTGATGCTTAATGAAAGAGGTGAAGTCTTACTCTCAATTTTTCCATTTAATCAGAGAAACCAGATAAGGGTAAGCCAATCAAACGAAACCAGATGGGTCAAAACTGACCTAGTATTCAGGATCAGAGTGTTGAAACAAAAAAAACACTGGCTTGCATTTAAACCATCCCTACCAGTTAATAAACTGGCTTTTGACCCAATCTATTGGTCATGGACGGTCCCCATAAAGAGCCGTAAAAAGTGTACTCGCAACATCCACACACTGTCGGTCAAATCAACTTACAGAATGTTGACGCCCAGATTGGATTTGAAAAATTGGGTCGAAAACAGATGGATGAAACACCTGAATGTAAGCAAAGAAGACCTTCAAAACTGTCAAAATCAGACCGACAAAGATTGCCTCATTACAATGGCAAATAGACCATCGATGCCTTCCCACAAATGACTGGCTCATGGACAAGACCTCGCTGGATGAAAAAGGCCTAGCTAAACCCTGTTGTAAGTTATGTTTCTCTGCATTTCCAAGTAGGACCATTCCTGAGACCATAGAACACATCTTCCTGCAATGTCCTGGCGCAGTCTGGTTATGGCGCTGGTGGGATAGAATTTGGAATTCCCTAAACACTCTGCAGACGTGGCCATGGGACTGGAGGGCTCTATTATGCGAGACCTGGTCCCCAATATCTCTTGATGACTTCACATATAACTTGTTCCAAACTGGCAGAAGAGCCCTCCTCTGGGCCCTCTGGAACCGACGCTGTACTTTTGAAATGGAAGGAGCGAGGCTCGACGGCCCTGATATAACAGAAATGGTTAAACTGCAAGTGCAGACAGACATCACAATTCAATGGAACAAAATCAATGGAAAAATCCAACTCCTATCATCCAAAAAGGAAATTCTACATCACATCCAACAATACAGTGACGCTTGGCTAGGGGGGCCTCAAGGAGGCAAGATTGGACAAATCAGTGAAGGTGGGCACAGGAAAGGAAAAATGGGAGGACAAGCTGAGGAAGCACAAAGGGACTACTACCTGTCTTTTCATGATTGGTCAAATATAGACCCATCAATCCCCCTGCGACCCCCATCAGAGTTCCCAGACCCATTCCCCYCYTCCTCATTATCTCTGGTCCCTGTGAGTTGGTATGGTTATGATTGAGGAGG